TTTTTTTTATTTCTTTAACACTGCGGCTTTGTGAGCTTAAACTTACTTTATCACTAAAGTTAGCTTAAGCTGGCACTTGGAATTAAGATTTTAAGTGTACATGAAATATTTAGGAATGCGAGGTTTCTAATCAAATCGTGAAACTACAGGTTGTTTAGAATTATATAAATTAAAAAATAATAATAATATTAAAAAAAAAAATAATTAATGTGTTTTTCGACAACAGTGTCGGCTACTATATATATGTATGTACATATGTACAATATGGCCTACATGAGGATGGATATGTCATCAGTGTTTGTGCAGAAGTAACTCTACAGAGACATCTAAGGAGACAGCACATTGCCATCTGCAGCGACAGTCAAACTACACTAAAAGCCATATTCTCGTGTGAGATCAAAACCACGTGTATTATCTGAATTTTGCAGTGGGATTGAACACCCTGGGTGAAGACAACACTGTACAACGGACGGAGATCCCGGGCCACAAACGTATACAAGGCAACAAAGAGGCTGATAGAGTAGTAGGAGAAGGGACTACATGATCAGAACCCTTCTTCGCAGTGGGCACCTCATACCATCAGGAAAGAGTTAAGAACAGAAAAACGTCAGCTCAGTAGAGTACATTGGGAGAACACGACTGACCAAGAGATCTAGGCGAACTAATCATCCTCCAAAATACAAGCCTTAGATTTATAACAGGTCTACTAACCGGTCATTGCAAGTCCGGTGGATTATTACAGATGACTCCTGCCATTATTGCGATATGGCAGCAGAATCATTCGTTTGGAGTTCGATGCAGTTGCGAGAGGAAGATTAAAACACATGTGGGGTTGTGGCCATAGGCTACGCACATTCACTCTTTGCCGCCTTCGCAACTGATTGGTTTCATTGGAACACTAGAGCTGGACGAGATTTTTGTGATGAGCTCTGATGGCACAACAGACCCAAGATTCCATTCGCATAAAGCGCGGATTCGGCTTAGTCACACATCGATTGCAGTACGCACCCATTGCAATGGGAAATTTTCCACCACTCGGACAAAGGCGCGCTTCAAAAATCAAACACTTGGACGTCGAGTAGGGTCAAGCCATGGCCTCTAGAATGGATCATAATATATGGTCTGGGCACCAGATGGCCAATTATTTGTAACAATTAGGTTTGAAACATGATTTTGTGTCATGATTCAATAATTCAAGGTTATGTAATTTGTAACAGCTAAAATTTTACACTCCTTTTTCTAGATTTGTAGTAGTTAGAAAGGTACTACAAAAAGTACGCAAAGTATACAATTAGAAGTAAAATGTGTAGTATTATTTCTATGCGAATTTGCAATATATTTGGCGTTTTAATGGAAATACCAGAGACATAACTATTATAAGAGAAAAGAATAAAAGTCTATCAATAATCATTATATTAAGATAAATATTTTTCGAGTCATCTATAATTATTATTCAAGGTCTTATATTATAAAAGTCCTTTCATAAAAATTATCAGAGAGTTAAGTATTTTTAAGTCTTTCAAGACTTTTATTTTAAGACTTATATTATAAAAGTTTTTTATAATAATTATCAGAGAGATAAATATTTTAAAGTCCTCGAAGACTTTTATTTTAAGACTTATATTATGAAAGTATTTTCATAATAATTATGAGTGCGAAAACATTTTTTAAGTCTTAAAATAATGCCGAATTTCCACAAGGCATTGAAATGACAAAAAATATATGTAATTTAAAAAAATGCCATGTGTATTGTCATTATGTAATTTTTAACCGTAATGACCCGAATATGTTTTAATGTCCAACTTTGTCATTTGCCATTTAATGCCTAGTGGAAATTCAGCCAAACGAATACACAATTTATTTTTATATGTAAGAAAACCGTAACATCTTCAACAAAAAATAAATAAAATGGAAAAAAATCAACGGTAATTTTTAGACATTTGAAACTTGTACTTTATTAAACTAGAATTCAATGGGCTACAAAACTTCATACTCGGAATCTTTGCATTTCATGCATTGTATGTCTGAGACGGTTTGTAGAAACTCATCTGTTTATATCCTGAAAAAAAGGGGGACGCTCCTAGCCTTAGAAGAACACCAGTTCACCTCAAAGCTCTTAACACTGATCGCATCCAGAAATTGTATTTAACTCATTTGTGTACCGAAACATAGCGGGATCGTGGATTAAGAAGTATCAGAAAGAAGTGAGAATCATTATGGCGTTCTTGCTGCCTACTACAGGATTACGAAACAGAACAGGAAACGACTGAGTACACAATGTGCCCATGTAAATGCCTTAAGCTTATACTTTGCTGCCTAGCATCATTGTACCTAGCAGCATATGAGCTAAATAAAATTCAGCCAAGGGACCTCGCGACGTTACTTAACGATACGTGAACCAAAGAAGACCCGTAACCAAATAGAGATTGGTTACGATAGGTACTCCTTGATCGCGGTAACTTTTTACGTTCCTTCTCTAAATATTAATCTAATCGAATGCCATTCGAGTAAATTTCGAGAGCTTGCTTTGTGTGTTATCCTTACAAAAAATAAACCTTACATTATAGGGCAAATAAGGCAGTTTACTAAGTACTATTGCAATTGAGTAGTGTTGTTGACGGCAAGTGTACGGGCGTTTGTGTATTTTGTGCCGGTAGTATGTATGTATGTATGTGTAAATGTGTCTGTATTTCAATAAATAAAGAGAGAGAGAGAGTTAGAGTACGATATATCGAGTGACCAATAGAGCGAGAAAGACACAGAGAGACAGTGACAGTGACAGTGAAAGATTTGAGAGAGAGATAGCGTATGTTTACCGCAAATCTAGGCGTTTCACTGGCCGGTGTCGGCAATGCACCAATTTGCAGGTGATTATGATCTAAACTATTTAACTCATCATCGTCATCGGTTCTATAATTATCAATTCCATTAATGCCCAACAATGTTCTAATTCTATCGTTATTTTTCGTTTTTGCCGGCGACAGCTCAAGACTTAGCAAATGACGCTGATGGTTCAACTGCTTCTGCAGGTGACGCGTCATTGACAATGTACTGTCGCAGCTGCGACTGCCGCTGCCGCCGGTTGTGCCACCACCACCACCGCCCGAGCCATTCTCATCCAGATTGTCGCGCGAATTCGCACTGCAGCCAGCGCCCGAAGTTTGACGCGACGTTGTGGTGCGCAATGCTGCCTCTTTGGCGAGCTCCGTCAAATGACACGATATAAGCAATATGGCGGCCGATCTAGCCGCACCTGTACGTGATGTAGAGACGAGTATGCCTTTCGTACCGCTACTTCCGCCACCACCATGCCCACCACCGTGGCCGCCGCCAATTGTAGCACCACCGGATGAAGCACGTCGATTGCCATAGGAACCGATTGAGCCGCTCGAACGGAGACTAGAACGCGATGATGGACGACCCGATTGTACTGTCAATGGTATACCTGGAATCGGTTAAGGCATATCAGATTCAAAGGTAGACAAAAGTGACGAGTGAGTTAAATGGTAAATCGATGGAATCGGGAGGTTCTAGAACATAAATTGGACAATACAAAGGAAGGAGGGAAGTGTTTGTGTGAATTATGATGTGATACAGATGTAAGTATTTTAGCATTTTAAGCTGTATTAAATATTGATCAATGTTTATATTTTTATAAACTACAAAAGTTTCAATCGATTTCTGGACATACCTGTTTCACTTGAGTACATAATGGGTGGCGGTAGATTAGCATCGCCAAAGTTTCGCGGGCGTGGATACTTCGTTTTACTGAACAGATGTAATACCATACAGATGAGTCCGGCTAGCACTGCGATGCCCGTTGAGACACCCAGTAGCGTAGGCAAATCAGAGCTTAGCTCCTTTAAGTCTGTAAATACAAGTAACAATCTATAAATTGATCTTATTTTAATCTTGTAGATTTTATAAATTTGTGATAATATATCTGGAATGATAATACATATAACGCTAGGCATCAGGAAGCCGCTTCTTCAAGAGTGGCGGGAGTGTTCACAGGTGGAATTTGCAATACTCCTACTCTGCTTTGGAACCTCAATAAACAACTTGCGCTCACAGAATCGGAGAAACAGCTTCAGATTTGAGAGCAAATCCTACAGGACACACTCAGCAATCCTTCGGGTACGCGATTGGCTGACAGAAGCAGGAGTAGAGCATCAGAAGACTGAGGCAGTCCTGATCAACAGCAGGAAGTTACGAAAAGTGGCCAAAATCTCTAAAGATACTTAGACATCGTTTCCGATACTGGGCTCACACTTAAGACGCATATTAAATTTGCAGTCGGAAAGGCGGAAAAAGTTGCGGAAAAAGTTTTATTCCACCTACCCTTTTTTATGGAATTGACGCCTGGTGATACAAATTAATTAAAACATCATAATATGGCTACCAAATGGAAGGTATTTTAAAAATACCAAATTCAAAAATATTTTTAATAGGGTTGACACCTACTTTGAATCGCATATTTATTTAATTTTTTGTTTAGAAAAATAGGTAAAATATTACTATTCAGTGGTACCAAGAGAAGGTTTTTAAACAAAGCTTTCCCTATATACAAAGTGTTATCCCTTAGGATAATAGTGCAAGATTGCCACTTATTTTCGATTCTACACAATTTATCTTAAACCTCGCAATATGGATATCAAATGAAAGGCATTGTTGAGAACTTTGGTCCGAAAATATTTTCGATCAGGGTTGCCACACTTCTATGTAATAAAAATTTTTTATTTTTTATTTATTTTGGTAATTTCATTCCGCATTTTTTTTTTTTTTTACACAATGCATATACGCGCAAGATATGGACTATTCATTCCAGCGTATTTCTAAATAGGGTTGCCATCTAAATTTTAAAGTAAGAAATTTACTTACTTAATAGATATCGAAATCCAAATTTTTTTTTTTTATTTCCAAAATATTTTTTAAAGCTATCCAAATGACCAGTACTTGATATACAAATCTTAAAAACTTTAAAAAGTATATGCACTTCGAGCAAGGCTCGGTCTACCTGGTAGTAGTTTGAAATAAATAATAAAACTCACAGTGGGATTACTCTGGATAGTCCATAAGACCCTTTGATGTTCGACTTTCTTATTATTGACAGGTGGTACTGTACGCATCACCCACACCTCAGAGTGGCAGCCACTCAAACAAAATTTAAGTCAACCATGTGCCTATTCAGAAGCTTCAACAAATTTTAACAGCTCTTCCGATAAGATCATAGTTAGACTGACAAGACCATCGAGCAAGCGGTCACCCAGAAAACTGAAGCCCATTCTACAAAGTGCAGGGCATGATCTAATGAGCTCTAGAATCTAAAGCTTAAATTTCCTATAAAAAAATCTTACTTTTGGGAAAAAATAATACTATCCTTTAGCTACCATAGAGTACATTAATGCACTTACTAAGCGTATGCCAAGTTTCCACTAGGCATTGAAATTACAAAAAATGTTTGCCCCTTAACCTTGTGGAAACGAACTTAGTGACTATTTTTATGAACGTAATGACACGGGTATTTTTTTTAAACCCAACATTTAAATAAAACAAATTTGTGATCTGTGACGTCTAGTGGAAATCCGACATTATTAACTCACCTTTCGTACAAAAAACGCGACGAGTTGGCTTTGTGTGACTTACAGAATGGAAACCATGTGCGCACTGACACATAGCATTGTGTCGCACCTGAACACAAAGGGAGTTTTCATCGTTATACATACAAGTTTCATCGTAGAAACACTGCTCGCCCAGTTTTTTAGCTGTAAAATAAATTTTTGGAGCAATTAGCGGAAGTTACATACATACATATGTTGCATAAAGACACACGTGTACATATCGAAACCTAAGTGGAAGGTCGACCAATCTCAGAAAACTGAAAATATATTGAAAATATGTTGAGATATGGCGTTTTTGAATCGATCTTCCACTCACTCAGATGTCTATATGTATAAATTTCAGTTCCGAAATCCTTCAACTTACGCTTGTCGCAACCTTTGGTTAGTCCAAGCTGTACTGGGTAATTTTTTTCACAGCCGCAGGTTTTTGTCTCCTTATCACACGTGACATGCAGTAATGAAGTTTCGCACGTCATGTCACTAAAACAGGGAGCACCGATGTATTTGCCTTTTGCTGAAATAAAAATATTACAATCACATGTACTTATGTATACTAATAGATATTTTAAGTCATACAGCAAATAAGTGTACATACATATGTACAAGTATTATTTTTAAATAAATATAGTCTTCTTATCGAGCATAGCCAAGAATGAGTGTTCTATGCAAACCTGTTCAAAACAAAAGCTAGCGAATGGCAACCCTATAACTCATCTGTAGATTTTTCCTCGACGCTATATGAACTAGGAAATCAGATGAATAGGTTAGGTTAGGTTATTGTGGCAGACCCCGAGGGACTCACTTAGACATTAATTAGATTGTCCATTGTGTTACCACTTTATTCAAACTTTTTAACGGTAAATACACGTTCTCTGTATTAAACTAAGAGAGCGCTAGGTGCTCAAAACAAAGTTTCGCAAGCAGCTCATGTCCACTTTCGGAGAGCTTGCCGGAAGTGTTGATGAAATGCGTGATCAAACCTTAGTCTAGCTAATGCCGGGCAGCTGAGATAATTCCAGCTCGTCTTCTAAACAATTTCGGCAGTAGTTATCCGTGACGACCACGTGGCTTCCTAAACGACAGTGTCCGATCTGTGCACCTGTAAGTATCGATAACTGGCGCTTAGCCAGCTGGAAAAGCGTACCTGAGCGACTGCGGTCAACAAGCGGCCAGGAGGGCCTTGCAACTTTGCAGGTCGGGGTTTTCGTTCAGCGCTCGCTGAGACGACTGTGAGCCCATCTGTCTGGCAGCAGGCCGCAGGTTCCCAACGGAACTCCCATGCCCGCCCTATCCGAGGTGATGGCCTCGAGGGTGCCCTTCCTAGCCAAATTATTAGCCCTGCATTTCCAGTAATGTCACTGTATCCTGGGACCTAAATTGGTTTCATTTGGAAGTATTCTAAAGCGGTTGAGAGAGAGTTCAGGCATTCCCCGACCACTTTCGATCATACCGCCGCTTGGCTATCAGAGTAGATATTTACCCTCCTAGTCGGCAAAACATTGGTTCGTAGCCAATCGGCTGCCTCGCCTGCAGAGATCCGGCAGTATGAAGATTTATTGCGAGTTGCTGACAGTAAATAGACACCTCCTCCAACTCTCCCGTTCAGCTTTAATCCTTTCGTGAAGATGTTTATTGGACCTCTACTCCAAAAACTGTCATTATCCCATTCGCCCCTTGGAAGGATGTGCGTGGAAAAGGATCCATTTGGGGCCAGCCTCGGAACACTCCGATCCATTTCTTCTGGCAGAAAGTCGAAGCTTTTGAGAATTATTGAGTGCGCATACGTTGAGTCTAATGGCTGAGCGAACCGCCGCCACTCTGCCCGCAATGTCAACATATGCGACACTGAGCATAGCATTTAGCGACCGAGTAGGAGTGGTCCGGAGCGCTCCGTTGATTACAACGAGGGCCGCCCTTTTCGCGCGCTCTAACATGATTAAAGAATACCACCAGACAATAGCCATGGCATTTTTGCAGCATTAAAGAGCCACTGATGCCTTTTTTACTGGCTCCTCAATATTTGGCTTCCATGATAACTTCCCCTCCAAGAACTTGACCCTGTCAGAGAGAGCCAGTAAAACACCTGCTGTTGAGGGAAGTTGGGCATGAGCCACTTTGTACCTCCTGGTAAATAGTACGAACTCCATCTTTTCATGATTTGTAGCAAGCAGACCGATCTGTGACCAATTTTAAGTACCCTTGCATAAGATCATACAGAGTGTCTAAGAACTTTCCTCTAAAAATTAGTGTCACATAATCCGTCTCCTTTCTTACTTCTCCAGGACATCGTTTATCACGACTATCTAGAGAAAGGATGGAAGGTACCCTTGTTCACTTTGCGCTGGATAGAGGCATTGCTCCATTCCGCTGTGACAGTTCAGTCGTGCAGCATACGGGAGATGAGCCTTACTAAGTAGTTCTCGACTCCGAGCTTAATCAGGGCTCTCATAGCTTCCGGACCGCTGCTGCGTCTTCTAAACTCAATTTACGACGAATTAGCTAGGAAAGCGGGGCCTAAACCATTATTTGCAGCAGTAGAAGCAAACACGACCAGGTAAGAGTTAAAAAACGAGTTAGTAGGAAGCAGAAAATAACGCTGGTGCATGGGTATTAATCTCATCTCGCGCGTGAAGTAGAAAAAATCGCATTCAAACCGAAACCAAAAATTAATATTCTGCGAATATAAGACATTCTTACTCACCAGATCTATTATTTATTAAAGCCTCGTATTCATCAAATTCGTCGTCATGATAAGCGGAATCATCCTCATCATCAGGCACATGAGCGGTATCGCGCTTTGCAACGCGTTGTATATACGTTAGATCTTTTGCGAACGCGTCCACCACAAATTGCAACGGTGGCGGCGGCGGCGGCGACTCCGCTTCGGCTAATAATGAAACATTATGCGCAATAGCAGCTGTCAAGTTGATGACAGGTAATGGTAACGTAGCAGATGTTGATGCTGTTGTGGATGCTATCGAATCTTGCACGCTACTATCAATCAACATTACGCTTTCAATAGGAGTAGCGATTGGTGTCAAGGACGCCGCCACCGCCGCCGTCGCTGCTATTGGCGCTTTATCTTCGTCGCTGTCACTTATGTTATTGTTATGTGTCGCATTAGCAATGGCTGTCGCCGCCACAGAGGCGCGCATCATGGCACCACAATAAATGAAAAATACGAGCGTCAAATAGAAAAGACTACGCTTATCTAGGCCGCCGCCACCACCAGCAAAGCTTGTTCCGTTTCCGGCGACAGTGCCAATCGTATTGAAGAGACCGCAACTACAGACACCTCCCGCGGCAGCGGCTGCAGCAGCAGATATAACATTTTGTTGACGAGTGCCACTTCGTAGGCATGCGGCTCGCAAAACTCTGTTGCTAAGCTGCGATTTTCGTGTAAGGCTTATATGGTTGCGGCTCAATCCTATAGCGGTCGTTGCAGCTATACGCCGCTGTCGTGTGCTATGATGATGTGGCATATAGTCTATGCCACTATTGTCGTCGGCGCCACCGTCGCTGTTGACACCATCGTAGGTAGTCACGCACGCATACGCGTCACGCATATTGTACGTGGCAACGGTAGCCGAATTCGCTACGAGTGCATACAAAGCGGAAAAGCGGAAATAGTCGACAGTGGGCGTTAGCTGTGGTTGTTGTTGTATTGTTCCTTTAGCGGCTGCATTTCGCACATAATACTGTTGCTGGCTTGGAGTTTGTTCTTGTCGATGCTTTGATTGTTGCTTTTGTTGTTGTTCAGAATTTTCGTTGTTTCTCGTAATTGTGCTGTGACTGCGGTTCTTGAGTGTTGCACTTCTGGTACGGTGTGTCAGAGTATATTTCTTGGTCGTTGCTACTGTTTCGGGTATTTCTTGGAGTTTAGCTTGAAAATTTCGACGTTTTTTGTTGTTACCGATGTATTTTTCCACAAGTTTTTCCATTGCTCGTGTGGTGAACTTTTGGACTTATGGAGTTTTCTTTTTGGTTGGTTTGTTTGTTTGGAAGACAATTACGGTTTTTTTTGCGTTGTGATAGTAACCTTAAATTTTTTTGTTTAGAGTTTTTATTTAGAGTTTTTTGCGTTTAATTGAATTTAGTTTAAATTTATTTAATTTACTTAATTGCTGTATTTATAAGTAGATTTGTATGTTTGAAGGAATTTATACAAGTTTCCATTTGTTCTTTTTTAATTTAATTTATAACAGTCCTTTAAAGTACGCCATTGTACTTTTACTTCCATTGGCAATCGAAACCATTGCAATTAATTTACTTTTATCTGAGCCATACTGCATTTGCTTAACAAAAAAACGAGACTGTACTCTGAAAGTATATAAACAAACATAACTTTTAATTGATTGCTTATTAAACAATATCAGGCAAGAGAGGGGATTATTAAAAGTAGTTTATTAACATAAGCATGCAGGTATTTATAATGGCAATTATCCAAAATATTACCGAGCTGTATAGTAGGGTTGTCCTTAATTTTGTTTTATTTTCGTACAAAATAAAATCTTTTACGAAAAGTTCCAGATTAAAAAAAATCGGGTCGATATCAGGGTTTGAAAAAATTAATTTTTTAAAATTGCAAAAATTTTCAAATTTTTGACTTTGACCAGCTATGACTCAGCGACTTTATAAATTTATATAAGTAAGTTAATGCCTGCACAACTAACTAAGATACAGGTGGGGTCTACGAAATAGTGTTCACATATTTTCAAAGCCGGTTGTCTTTATTCCAAAAGCCATAACATATTAACCCCAAGGACCTTAGGCCCACCAGCATTCCCCCTTTGCCCTTACGACACCTGAAGATATTATTATCAGCTTCTTTTCTGAAACCATCGACATCGTCTACTGTCTGATAGCCAATAGGAATAGCGAAAGAGTAAATTCTATCTACTACGAACACCGCACTTCATAGCTTGGTCGCTTATATCGAGAAGTCCCTCAGCTTTAGAGACTTCTGTCTCATAGCTTTCTTGGATATTGAAGTCGCTTCCTACAACGTACTTCTAGAGGCTATTACTGGCGCACCTTATACCTCCTAGTGACCATCTAGTCACCAAGTTGAAGTCCCACTGAGTTAAGTCCCAGAAGGTATCCAAAAATTTGCTCGTCACTAAACATGGTACATTATCCGCATAGGCAATCACTCGGCACGTACTACTCGGCAATTCCTGAAGCAGGTCGTTTACGATCACGATTTAGAGAATAGGCGATAAGCCACCACCCAGGGGTGTGCTCCTGTTTACCACACGCTGGATGGTGACCCACTTCGCCGCGAAAATTCTGTCATTGGTTATGCAGTGTATGAGCCTATCAAGGTCCGCTTCGACCGCAAGCTTTCTCAGGGATGTGACTATTGCCGCGTTAGTATCAATATCGAGGGGATCTTTATGTATGAAGGCTTCCTCAATCGACGTCACAATTGTGTGCAAGCTCCCGAGAGGCAATAGCTAGCAATCTCCAGAACTTTAATCAAAAACGAGAAGAGGCTGATTGGTCTGAAATCCCTGGGAGAGACGTGAGATCTTTTTCCAGCTTTCGGTATAAACTTCACCCTGACTACTCTCCAAGCCCTGGGGATTTTTGTTCCTGATGCAACACAGGGACGTACTGAACCCTTCTGTTGTCTTTGGCATCGAGTCCAACCCCCTCATAAGAAAATTTGTACTGCTGCTTATGCTAAAAAAGGCTTCATCTGAAGTTCACTTGGGTTAGTTGCAATTCATGCAGGGGATTGAGCCACTTAATGACCTATTCTCGCCTTAGATGAGATCGGACCATATAGTTCGTGGCTCCTATTGGTTGCTCCAAATGCCACTCACAGGAAAGGGACCTCCACGGCTTCACAGAGCCAACCGGAACAACAGAACTTCGCCGCCTTTCACGGGCTCTCCCGCCAGAAGCAGAGAGTCACTCCATGACTCGAGACATATCTTTCCCCCAAATCCCAACTCAAATAAGACCCTTGTCCATATGGACAAACCCAGTTGGAGTTCCGCACTTCCTGGGACAAGCCGATCTAGGTAGGGCTCAGTAGCCTTTACAACAACAACAACAACAAGATTCTTTAATTACCCACATCAAGGTACAAGTAGTAGCATTAGAACAAAAACAACATTTACTTATATTTTGTTGTTGCTTCTGGTTTCTTAAAGTGTCAAAAAATAGTATAAATTTTTTAAATATCATAGTTGGAGATGTAAAATATACATACATATGTACATATACAAAAATTAAAATAAAAAATTGAAATACAAAAAATTAAGAATTTGTATGACTTTCTTTCTTTGCAAATTTGTTTCATTCCAGAAGCGTCAATATATCCGATCCAATAATCAGCGTTTATGCTCTTGAGCAAAGAACGTAGATAATAAGAAGGGACAACTCGTTATAATTATAGCGAAAGTGAGTAACCGGGGGCATGCCTTCCCTTTTGCCCTAGTACTTTTTTTGATTGGATGAAAAGAGAAGGCATGCCCCTGTTACTCACTTTCGCTACAATTATAATAGGGGTCTTCATCTAAAGTGATAAAGGGATAAATTGCTTAAATTTATCAGTTTATCCGCATTCTTTCATGAACGCACCTTGGTAAATAATTGCATAAAACTGTTTATTATCTAACTTATGTATATGGGTAGTTACGTTTCATTCTTACCTCGTGCATTGTGTTCATTTGGTTTTACATGCTCATAGCGAAAGCGACTACTTGTAAGGCTTGAATTTTGCTGAAATGTATATATTTATCCGCCAAAGTCGTTTGATAAAGTGATAAACTTTGGTTAAATAGATTTTCATACAAAGTTTGACAGTTCATTTATCAAAATGATAAATTTATCACTTTATCAAGTTTATCTAGAGTTTATCACTTTTGATGAAGACCCTTAATGAGTTGTCCCTTCTTGTTATCTACGTTATTTCTCCTTAGTTAAGCAAACATTGTAAAGGCTGGTTTTTAACCGCTTTTTTAGAGATTCACATGCAAATACATTTTACCAATGAAGACTTTTTGTGGAGAAAAGTAAAAATATTGGACAGAATATTTAATATTTAGAGAACAACTAATTAAAACAAATCAAAACAGCTGATCTGCTGATACCTACTACCTGTTTAATATGCCTTCCCCTACATAATTTTCAATTGTCAATCGAGGACAAATATTAAGGGCCGGTTACTCAATGTCTGGTTATCACTAATCTCCGGTTAAACATAGTTATCGACGTTACCGACTCCCTGTTGAGGCGTTCAGCGCTTTTTAGCTGAATTGTGTAGCTGAAAGCCTGAAAAGAACCAGACGCTTGAAAAGCTTGCTGCGGAAATGTACTCTTATTTCTCTGTTTGCTCCACAACCAATTTTATGTACAGCGATTTTCATCGCAAAATTAATACAATTCTCCAATTCATCTATCAACCCTCATACGTACGGCCCCGTTATTATAAAGAGTACGAAAATTAAACGGCAACACTCGCTCACACAAAAGCGCACGTTCAGTGACCGTCAGCTGATTGCATTCAAATATATCCGCAACGACGTCAAAATGCATTTTCTTGATGCAATTTTTTCGTCTAGCAACGATTAGAATTGGAATTGTAAATAAAGTGAAATTGTATAATATGAGCTAATTTAATTACATTTAGGGCAATGGTACGAATTCGTGGAGAAAGGTGTGCCATTTCTTCTGACGGCCATTTATTAGATGGGGAAGGTGTAGTTATCAGCAATCCGAAACTTTTGGAATTCGCGCGCAAACGTAAAGTAGACTTTCGGAAGGAAAGTCTAGTTTGTGCCAAATGTGCTATAAGTCTTGAAAAAATTTATGAATACAAAATAAGATGCGCTATTGAAAAGAAAAATCAACTCAAATCACTTGCAATATCGTCTTCCTCATCGCTGGACGATTTCGATCGCTTGGTTTACCGCACACCGCGCACCAAACATTTGCGTGGCATTGTGAAAGAGAATGCACCCTTTCAACTGCGTGGACCATCCCAGGATATCATCAATGTTGGGGAAGATAAAGAGAATCGAGACAATAACGTTAGAGGAGAAGACTTAGCAGCTTCAGCATCACTGATTGTTAGTGATGATAGCAGTGTAGTTTTGGAACCATCGAATGTACCAATATCGCTAGCTACTTATGAAGTCCTCCCAATGAGTAGAGATAGTTCGCAAAATTCTTCACTAGATGTAAGACCATCGACAAGCGAAACGGCAGCTGCCGCGCGCGCAGCCAAACAAAACGATAAGCACACAGAAACAATTGCATGGCGGAAACCGGTGGAGCCAGTGAAGCGTAAAAGAGTACACTTTGAATATGACCAGTCGGGGCATTTAACGGCGGCAAGCACCGACGATGACGATGACAATGATGATTTCACACCAAGCTTGAATGCTCTTAATGGTACACGTTTACCACATGTGCAGCCAATACCGAAACGAAGGCAGTTCCAACACGTCATACCAACGGTGCAGGATATCTACATGCAAGGCATCACTGGAGGTTAGAAATAAGAGTAGGTACAAGTAGAATAAGTATTTAAATGTTTGTTTTTATTTGCAAAAATGTTTCAATAGTAAGGCAAATTTAAAATTATTGGATATCGTGTTCTTTAGGTTCAATAGTTGTTTATTCCCGATTAAGTACTAACAATTTCATGGTATACAAATTTAATTGTCGATAATATGTATGTATTCAAATATTTTTATGTATTTACTATGTATTTATTAATATAAAACTTTATAAGAAAATAAAGCAAAATTTATAGTTAAAATACTGAAAAAACTAAATACCTATATCAATACCACTAATCAATGATGATATTTTTGTCGTTCATTGAATGGAAATTTTAACAATGGAACAGTGCAAAAAATAGTGTAAAATGCATTTGTCTATCATACTAAAGTTTGTCACCAGACTATTGTCCTCCGTTTAAGCTGGCAGCTGGTTGAACAGCTAACAAAAGATGAAAAATTATTTTTTTTTGCCAATTTTTGGCATTTTTCCGAT